GCAGGGTTGCCTCTATAGCTAGTATTACAAAGTCTTGATGGAAGACCCAGAATCTTCAGGAGATTCATGTTTTCAAACCCAGGGCTCCCCAACCTCTGCCCCATAACTAGCATACCAGCCTTCTCCATCCTGCCCATTGTTTCTCAGGTGCTCCAGACTCTTGCCCAGCCTACCTGCCATTGCCCAGGCTGTTTCCTTTACCAGGAATGTGTTTTGCTTTTTCTGAATCTCCATTTCCTCATCGAAAAAGAGAAAAAGTAATTGTCACTCTTTTCTAAAAGTGAATTGATTATTTAAAGGTGCTGAGGCTATTATCTTGGAGAAGAGAAGTCCCCAGGGCAGAGAAAGCAGCCCTAACTAGAAAGATCTGGAAGCCAGAACGAAGAGCAATAAAAGGAGTCAGGGACAGAGATTTCAGCAAAGGATCAGAGAAAATCAGAGATAGAGCTGGCTGCTTCAGGAAACAGTGAATTCCTAATCCTAAAGGAAAGTGTAGAAGCTGGAGTTCTTTGGTAAAAAGGTTCAGGAGTTGAGAGTTAAATGGTTTGGAGTTGGAAACTGTAGCTCTGAGAGGGATGTTTGCATCAGCTTTGGAGTCTTACAGTTCTCAGTTCCCTTCCTAGCTCTACCTCCCACTAGTGAGGTTACTCTTCTCTCTGAGCCTCATTTAGAAGTGGCAAGGAGATGGTTAAGAGTGTCCACATTGTAGAAGTTTTATGAAGCTTCACTGAAGCAGTAAACATAATGGAACCAGCAGGCAGTAGGTGCCCAGCAATTGGGAAATGTCAGGAGATCTCCCCTTAGTTCTAAATGATGATTGAAAACAGAATGGAGGACATAATGAAGAGGACTTTGCTGCTGCTCCTAGAACCAGAGTCTGGAAAGGCCACCAGCAGTTAAGAAGACAGAGGTTGGAAGCACATAGTGCATTCTAAGCAGAGGAGCATGAGGAAAAAAATAAATGGGCTATACATATATTTTTTTTTTCTGAATTTTCTAATTCTGTTCCATAACCCTTTTTAAGTCTATCTTTATATCAGTGCCACCTTGTCTTGATCACTTTGGCTTCTAGTAAATCTTGAAGTCAGATAATATAGGTCCTCTAACTTTGTTCTTGTTTGCAGAGTTGATTTGAATGTTACAAGTTAGTGTACAATTTGCAATCAGCTTTTACATTTCTACAAAAGAGTCTTCTAGGCATTTGATTGGGATTGCATTAAAGGTAAAAACTGAGGAAAGGATTTTTTAAAAATATTGTATCTTCTAATTTATGAATATCATCTATTTATTCAGGACTTCTTTAATATCTTTCAGCAATATTCATAAAATTTCAATATAACTGTCTTGCACATTTTTCAAATTATTCCTAAGTATTTTACATTTTTGATGATATTATAAATGATATTTTTGAACTAAAGGGAGCTCTATCTCTCTGCTTTCTGGCTGCCAGAACATTTCCATCACCCTAAAAGTTTCCAAATGCTGCTTTCCAATCGATTCCTAACTCAACTTCACCCCACTGCAGAGCAACCACTACAGTTCTCTCTTTTACATCTTATGCCAATGTATTCATTCACTATGTATTTATTTTTTTAAGCCTTTCTTTTCTGATCTAACATAATTTATTTCTTTTGTACATCAGAAGTTTATTTATTTTTTATTATTGGCTCTCATTTCATTTTATGAGCAAGCACTTCATTATTCCATTTGGACTGCTTCCAATTCGGGGGTATTATGAATGAGATTGCTATGAAAGTCTTTGTTCCAGTTGTTTTGTAGACTTATGTTATCATGTCCCTTGTGTAAATACCTAGCAATGGAATTACTGGGCTGTGGATAAATGTGTATTTAATTGTATTACCAAATGTCAAACAGTTTTCAAAAGTGTTTGTACATCCCTACAACTTTTTTTTTTCTTTTATGTTTCTTTCATTATTTTTGTGCCCAGCCTAGAAAACTTTACCTACTCTCAAGTCTGGGAAATCTTCTATATTTTCTTCTAGAAGTGCTATGATTATAATTTTTACCTTTAGGTCTATGATCCATCTGAAATTAAATTTTAATTCTGGTTGAGAAGGAGCTTGAAATTCATTTCTCCACACAAATACCCAGTTGCTCGAGCAACATTTTTAAAAAAGACTTTCCCCATTGAGGAGTGTTTAGTACATTTATATCTAGTGTAATTATTAATATGATTGAGTTTAAGTGAATCACCCTGTTAATAATTTTCATTTTGAACATTTGTGGCTCTTTCTTGACTTCTTTTTTTTTTTTTTTTTTTTTTTTGAGGTGGGTATTACCGGGGACTGAACTCAAGCACTCTCGACCACTGAACCACATACCCAGCCCTATTTTGTACTTTATTTAGAGACAGGGTCTCACTGAGTTGCTTAGTGCCTTGCTTTTGCTGAGGCAGGCTTTGAACTCATGATCCAATTACCTCAGCCTCCCAAGCCACTGGGATTACTGGCGTGCGCCATTGGGCCTGGCAGATCACAGTAATCTTTACAACAAAAATCAGTCTTTTGAACACAACTTTAAATGAGCTGAAATCTAGCCTATTTTGGAACCATTCTAACATGGAGTAAGGTGAGAGGCAGAGCCTTATCTCAGGTAAGGTGGGCTCTTCACAAATAACACAATACAATATTACATCTGAAACATGAATCAAAGAAAGGCTAAGAGAGCTTTCAACTTTCTTTTTATGGAAAAAGTGGCAGAACATTTCCATGTTTTATAATGTCATCTTTAAACAGATTGGGCTTTCATTATCTTCCCCAAAATGCTTTTAAATTCAAATTCCAGAGTGAAGAGTAAGAAAAAATTATACATATAACTTATTGACAACAGGTTACTTTATCCAGTTATAAAACAATCAACTGAAATTAATAAACACAAGCCATATTTGTTATTTCTATACAAATTCAAGACTTTTAGATAATTTTAGTGTGGAGAACATCAACTTGGCAAAGTGCTATCCTAAGCTTTACATTTAACTAAGTTTAACTTTTTTAAAGTACAATTTAGAATCTAGAGTGTACGGCAACAACAATCACTGGTCTGCATGGGTTAACAAATAATCAAAGGAGAGCCTTTAATCTCTTATGCATTTAGGAAACTGTTAATAGTCAGACATTAACTGAGTCAAGACAAACAGATATAAGACAGGTCTTCAAATGACAGTGTGGCTCTTTCATTTCAGATATAATGTATGAAAGAGAGCACTTATTAGTTATCTTGCTCATAAACTTTCATTTTATAGACTTTTGTATAACACTTAGACAAGGCTTAGACAAATATAGTTCTCAAATTCAGACACATACCTAGTTGCATATATTTAGGATGCCAACTATATTGTTATAACCTAAATAACAGTTGTTTGCTTAACCAATTACAAAGCAGTCACTTAAGATTTTAAAACACGTACAAACCCTAATTCTTTTAAGACTTAGTTTCCCCAAGTAATAAAACCTAACAAATAAAAGAAAATTATCTTGGTAGATAAGAGCATATCAATGTTTCAATTTCTGTTTTTTATCAGTGCATTAAAATTCAAGTAACTTTAGCTGACGGTGCTAATTATAGTCAATTTAACCACAAACACAAACTTTTTGAGATTTACCTTCCACAAAGCTTCTGTGACTTACTTAAACATTCAAAACTTCTTTATATTCTTAGTTTTGTCCTCTTTCATCTTGGACTTTAGTACAAGAATATGACTTTACCAGACAAAACACTTTCAATTCCGGAAACACTTTTTTACATTCTAATTTTCCATACTAAAATATATTTCCATACCTATAACTTTCTTGTATCTTTTCTAGTTTTAGACCCTTTCTTAAATTCATATTCTGAAACAGCCCTTATGAATGTTTTCTGTGCATTTAATTTACGCAACAAATTTCATCCCAGGAGAGGGTTGGACAATTCAGCATATAGAGAAACTGTGTCTTAATCTTTTGTCTCCTAGGTTGCATTCAAGCAGTGGGAGCACAGGATATTTTTGAGCTTGACCTATCTCTGTTATCATTATTGCAACGTCATCAACTTTAAGTGAGTTCCCCACAATCAATTGTATCCAGAGGCTCCTTTTGGGCCTTTAAAAAAAATAGTAGGCATATTGATATGCAATGGATGAGGTCTTTTCCATCTTTCTCTTCAGGCTTCCTTGAAGATCCCTTTACAGAGGCTGCCTACAAAACACAGGTTGGCCATAGTTTCTGTCTTTTCCTTTTCTGGGTGCAGATATTTATTCTGCCATTTTTTCCAGGCATTTAGTTTGATGGGATGCTGTTTTAGCAAGAATTGTTTTGCCCCAGTGATGAATATCCCTTGGCCAAATGGGATGTACTGTCAGATCTTAAAAGGGGAGATTATTCCTGTCCCCAGCTCATAAACTGACAGTGCTGGAACCTACTACCACAGTCTTTGTGGCCAGCAGCCTCAGGGACAAGAGGGGCTGACAGGCAGAACAGAGGCCAGTTTTCTACAGCCCAGAAAGCTTTTCTGGGATTTTTTTTTCCAGTTTAGGGCTAGTGTCCTTGACCCACAGTGAGATGATCTGTGGCTGCCTGGGGCCAGGCTGCAAAACCGTGCTGGGAGTGCCAGTGCTGGATTTAAGTCTTTTTTAAGCTCTTTCTTCTGGTGTCCTGCTACCCTTGCACATCAGAGGCAGTGCCTTTTGGCACCTTCACATTTGTTCCTCATGGTTCATACCCCTTATAACGAAACTGCATAAACGCCTGTACACACAGAATCTGTTTCATATACTTTAACCCTGACAGACCAATTTTAACATTAAGATTGTACAGTAGTCCAGAAAAAAAAAATCATTCAAAAGCCAGATTGTATTAGAGTAAACCCTCTTTTTCATAGAGAGGCTATACCTATAAGAGACCCATGCAGCCAATCTCTCTCTGCTCAAGAGACTTCTGGTAAGATCAATGTACCTTGGCCCATTTCTTAAAAGAGGCAGTAACAGATACAAACAAAACAAAAACATGACAATCAGAGGGAATTCTCAAGTCACAGCTGATAGGTAGGAATCTTTAAAACAGATAGACCAGATAGGGGAAAATCCCATGTTCCCAAATAGGTTGGTTTCATAGTTTAGCTATTGTGAATTGAGCTGCTATGAATATTGATGTGGCTGCATCACTGTAGTATGCTGCTTTTAAATCCTTTGGGTATAAACCAAGGAGTGGAATAGCTGGATCAAATGGTGGTTCCATTCCAAGTTTTCTGAGAAATCTCCATACTGCTTTCCACAGTGGTTGCACCAATTTTGATCTCTCCTTAAGGTCTGTAAGTCTGTCCTCAGGTGACCCAGGCCTCAGGGGAGCTCCATGTTGCCCCAGAGTTGAACTGAGTGTGGCTCTGGTTTTGGATGCAGATTGCTTACCCTGAATGGGGAATGGGGCTTTACCATGGTTACTGGCTGCTTGTTTCTGGTCACTTTCTGCAGCCTGGTTTCCCTGAACTTTTCTGATCCTGGCATCCTGTATCAAGGTAAGGCCTCAGACCCCTGGGAGAAGTAGGTGGCACCCCAAGGGCTGATGCCTACAGGGGTGATTTCTAAAGTGCTAACCCCACCTATGGCTCAGAATCCCTTCTTTCCATGTCATCATTACTTAGGCCCTGGCACTTCATTTTCCAGCCACTGAGGCAAGAAGAAACAGAATCCTGGAGGGTTTCTAGTTACTTCAGAAGGGAGGACCAGGCAAGCTGGCAAGAGGGGCCAGCAGTCTCTTCCAAACCACACGGTTTATTTTTCCTCCTGCTATTTCACACATAACTTCAAATACTAATCACTATTCCAAAGGGGGAGCTCTATAGAGAGCTCTTATGGCTGGAAACCCCCTTTTCTTTGACTGCCAGCCCTTTGGAGTGGTCATCTTACTCTACAAGGACTAGGATTCCCCTACCCACCTCCTCCCCATCCTTCTTGTTGCCCAGTGATGCTGATCAGGGCAGCCCCATGATGGAAGGGCCTCTTACCACTGCCCAAACTTTTTCCCATGCCAGGCTCCCTGAGGCAGCATATGTGCCCTGGATATATCAAAGGGCCTTTCAAATGCCCTGGTGTCCCCATTGCTCCTTCCACTGCCCACCCAGGACCTTCCACTGTGGATGTTGTAACATCTGTGAGGAGGTGAGTACTCCTCCTCCCTCTCCACTCACCAACCCATCACAGGGCATCTGGCCAGGACCAGGAGGCTCAAAGTATAAGTGGGCCAGGGGTAGGCATGAGACCATCTTCCCAGACTGTCAAAAGTGGCTCCCAGCCCCTCTTGGTCACTTAAATCTGCTATTGCCTCTCTGCACCTGACCTGAGAGGCTGGCCCTGTTTGCACAGGTGCTGACATGCAAAGGGCAGAGTCAGGGGGAGGAAAGACAGCGCCTGTCCCACTCCTGACTTGCTGATACTAGATACCCAAACTCTTAGTCCAGCTGCTGCCCTGTTCTGGGGATCTTTGCCTGTCTTCATCTGGGTGTCCAATTTGGAGTGTTTCCTGGATTCTGAGTGCTCTTCTCTCATGTATACACACTGCACAGGTTTCCAAGTGCAAAAAGCTGGCTGGGGGGAAATCTTTTCATCTTTATCCAGTATCTGAGAAAATAGAGACCCAGAGTTATTCTATATCCTCCTACAAGTGACACGAGGCAGGTCTTGTCTATAAAGACCTCACTCATGCACATTACCTGATAAAGCTATAGAGTCCTAACTGTGCTCTAACAATGGAAAGTGCCAGGTTGTCCCTGAGATGGAACCCTCTTGTAGAGCAGGTGGCCTAGAGGGCAGTGTTGTGGAAGGCCCAAGTATTGGGAGGGGGGGTGGGGTGGGGGGAGTGGGTGGGTATGGATGCCAGATAGACTCTCCAGGCTTGTCCTCTCTGCTAGGAGTTTGACCACCACTGTAGGTGGGTGAACAAGTGCGAGGGGCGTAGTAACATCCAGCTCTTCCTGCTGCTGCTCATGTCCCCTTGCCTGTACCTGGGTGCCCTGCTGGTGATGTGCACCATCTTCCTTGTGAGCACCAGTGAGATGCCATTTTCCTTGGACAAGGCCATGGCATATCCATACAGTCTCAAGGAGAGTCTTCTCATTGTTCCTACAGTGGGAACAGCAGGGGTTGTGGGGAGAGAGGGGTGGAGAGCTAAGGGGTGAGGTAACTGAGGGCTGGACTGATGTGGGCGGGGCTAGAGGGAAAAGCCCTTTGGAAGGACCTGTCAAGGACATGTTGAAGGTGAGTGGTGTCGGGGAGATAGGCCGAGTTGGATGCACTGTCTAGTTGAGAATCTAGCGGGGCCACAGAGAGGGGTAATCAAGGTAGAAAAGGGACAGGCAGGAGGATAGCGTGGTGGACTGAGGTTTCCCTTGGGTGTACTGGATCAACAGTCCAGTTCAGGGAGGAAGAGTAAGTGGGCGGGGCCACATGGGGCAGGCGCAGGGAGGACGGAGTTGGGTCAGGACACAGGACCAGTGAGCCAGCAGCTTGGCTTCTTAGCCTGCTCACAGCTTCATAGTGGCTGTCCCGGCCACAGGCGCCCTGTTGCCACTCACTTTGGGACTGCTGATCCAGGCTGTAGCAATGAGCACCGCCACGCGCTCCTATGAAGGCCAGGTAAGTGGGGCCCAGTGCATGTGCTGGGATACCCGACTGTGCAGAGGCATCTTGCACCTCTGCCACCTGTGCTTTCTCCACTGCCCTTGGCCTTGATGTTGGGTGCCTCATTAGTCCTTCCAGACCCATCTCGTAAGATGCAGCTCAGATCTCTCCTCCCCCTGGAGCTCGCTGGTCATTCTCCCTCCTGGGTGCTTTGCTTCCAGAGCCTACTGTGTGCTGGGCTGCGTGTTATTTGAGAGATGGGTATAGAGGTGAGTAAGTACATCCTGCGCTTGTGTTGATAAGCAACCTGAGATCAGAATAACACCCGCAGACACCCAGGCACATTCTGAGAGGGACAGTTCTGAGTGGTGTAGCACACTGGAAGAAACTGAGAGTTTGGTGAGGCCTGCGTTGTAGAATAGGACATGTCACTCCTACACGTCCTGGTGTGATTGTGGAGAGGCCAGAGGACAGGAGGGCATTGCCTGTGAGAGGCACACCTGTGCAAAAAGGCATAGAAACCCAGAAAGTAGAATGTTAAGGGAATGATGAGGATATGGCTCTAATTCAAGCATGAGGTGGCATAAGCAATGAAGGTAACCCCATGGAGGGGTCAAGATTTAAAAGGCCCAGAAAGTCAAGCATGGAATTTAGTTGGTATGAAGTAAAAACCTGGGAGCCATGGTAGGATTTTTTTTTAAATTCATTTATTGAAGAATAATTTACACACAGTGATATTCACTTTTTTTTTTTTTTGTCTGTGGTTAAGGATTCTGACCAATGGATACCATCCTGCACTCTCCACCATGATCAAGGTTAAACCAGTTTCATTACCTCAGAAAATCCTTTCATCATCTTCTGTTGTCAAGTTCTTTCCTTATGTCCTTCTGGTTTTTCTTTTTCCAGAATCAAGTATAAATGGATTCTTTGCCTTTTTAATCTGGTTTCATTCATTTAGTACAGCACATTTGAGATTCATCCTTGTGTGGTTCCCATCAGTAGTTTATTTCCTTTTACTGCTGTGTAGTATTGTATGGAGGCCCTACAGATTATTTATACATTCACCAATTGAAGGATTGTTCATTGTATCTAGTTTTTCTCAGGGTTTTTGTTTTGTTTGTACCAGGGATTGAATACAGGGGCGCTTAATCACTGAGATACATCCCCAGTTCCCCATGCCCCTTTCAGTTTTTCTTTAACTTTTTTTTTTTTTCTTTTTGAGTCAGGGTCTCATTAAGTTGCTTAGGGCCTCGCTAAGTTGCTAAGGCTGGCTTTGAACTTGCAATTCTCCAGCCTCGGCCTCCTGACCTGCTAGCATTCAGGCATGGGCCACTGTGCCTAGCTAGTTTTTCACAGTTATAAATAAAACTGCTACAGACATTGGTGTACAGGCATGTGAACATTAAGTTTTCTTTTCTGTTGGGTAAATTCTTAAGGGTGGCATTGCTGAGTCACTTTTCCTATAAAGTGTGGAACTTTATAGGATATTTCCAAATTTGTCTTCCAAAACCATTCCTAATTTCTACCAGCAATACATGAGAATTCCAATTGCTCCACATCCTCACCGACATTTGACACTGTCATCTGTTATTTTGTTTTCTCTTTTCATTGTAGCCTAATAAATGAGTAGTGGCATCTCATTAAGGCTCCAGGTTGTGTTTTCCTAATGAGTAATGATGTTGAGCATATTTGCATGTCTTTTGGGCCATGGGTATGTCTTTGGTAAAGTGTTTGCTTCAATCTTTTGCCCATTTAAAAAAAAATGGCTTGTTTCCTTACTAAGTTTTAAGAGTTCTTTATACTGGATTCAGATTATGTTTTGTGAATCTTTTCTTACAATCTATGGCTTGTTACCTCATTTTCTTCTTAGCATCTCAGTGTTGTTGTTTCTCCAGTACTGGGGATTGAATCGGGGTGCTCTACCACTGAGCGTTGTTGTTCATTCTACGTGGAAAATTATGTGATAAACAGTTTCATTACCTTCTTTCCAATCCCAATTGCCCTGGGATTCCTTTAGTATGACAATCACTTGGCTAAAGGCTCTTTCAGGAAGACTGGTGGGCAGCATCAATGGGGGAGGGGGAAGCTGCAGACCCTGAGACAGCTGAACAGACAGAGGAGCCTCTCTGCTCATCACCTCCCATCCTTTTAGTCACCACCCCACCACTGCCATATCTGGTGCCCCTCCCACCTGTGACTCCTGTGCTTGGCCCTTATCCATCAGCCCTGTGGTCTGCCTGTCTTCTCCTCTCTCCAGCTTCACTCCATCATTGAGTTTGCCTGGCAGCCTTTTCCCTTCCTCCATCCTGTGGTTCTTCCAGCCCCAGGTCACGCCATAGGCCATTGTCCTTCTTCCTCTGCTCAGAATAAGGCCCTCCACGTCCAGGATCCCCAGTCTCAGGGGACCTAAATGTGGTCTGCCCTCTGGGATTCACCAGACAGGGCTTCTTTCCATTACTTGTCATTCCCTCCCTACTCCGTTCCTCCCTGCAACTTCTCCTGGAGCCACTTGCTTGGTAGTTGGTAGCAAGGACTCTAGAGCCAGACCACATAAGTCCAAATCACAGCTCTACAACACACCAGCAGGGAGACCTGGGCTATGCTACTTAACCACCTGGGCCCTGAGTTTCCCTACTGGTAGAAGAGGGAAATGTGGGTTAATTCACAAAAAATACATAGAACAGTGGCTGGTACCAGAAAGTGCCCTATGTGCTGTTGTTACTATTACTACCATTTCTTCCCATAGTCATGTACACATTTGTGTTCCTCATCTTAAAAGCCAAGTCCCGCCCTCAGTGTTCCAAGCCTCCACTCCACCTGTTGTACCCTCTGTGCCTTATTCCATGAAAGAGTTGACCATGCTCAAGAGCTATAACCCTTTACTTCCTGGCCCCTGTCAGCTCAGCTGCAGCCCTTGCCTTTGCTGTCATGATGATGCTCTCAACAAGCCCAAAGCCAGCAGACAGTTTTCAGGCTACTCTTTCTGGACTAAACACAGCCTCTGAAACTGGAAGTAGATGAAATAGCCCTCTTGCATGCTTAACACTTAATTCTCTCGGCTTCTCCTCTGCATGTACCTGGGTGCTATGAGCTGCATTGCCTACTCTTTTCCCATGATACCCTCTTTTTTTGCTACCCTGGCCACTCCACACAGTGCTCAGGGCCTTGTGTTGCTGCAGGCCTCACGACCCTAAAAGTAGGCTGGCCATACTCTTTGCAGTGTGCTTTCAACCCCCAGTGCAATGACAAGACTTTATCTTTTTGCTAATTGAATCCAGGAGCACTTTAACACTGAGCTATATCCCCAGTCCTTTCTATTTTTTATTTTAAAACAGGGTCTCACTAAATTGCTAAGGCTGGTCTTGAACTTGCCTTCCTCCTGCCTCCCAAGTCTCTATGATTTCAGATGTGTTCCACTATGCCCGGCTTGACTGAGGCATCTTTGATGCCCTGAAATATTTCTGGCTGGGGCTGTATCTGAGTGGTAGAGTGTGTGCTTAGCATGTGCAAGACCCTGGGTTCTTCAGTCCTCAGCACACAAAGAAAAGAAATCTGAATAAAGAAGGGAAACAACAACAACAACAAAAGAATCATTTGTGGATAGAAGGAAATAGAGAAAGGAATAGAAATAAGCCTGAAGCCCTGATCCCCCTGGCATAAGAGGAAGAAGGAAAGGCAGCAGGAAGTTGGGCAGAAGATGAGGCAAGAAGAAGATGCCATTTAATTTTGGTCCTGTGGAATGTGAGGGTGTTTGAGACACAGAACTGGAGCCAGAACCCCAGGAATGGAGCTAGTGAGAGAAGCTGATCTGGGTGCTTCAGAGCTACTGGATCCTATTTGTGTCTGACAGGATTCCATGTGGGGAAAGGATTCAAATTTACTGCTCAGTTCTTAAAAATTTATTCATTATAATTCCTTTAAGGATTTTCCATACCAGATGTGCAATCAACATTTTCTATACTTTATAACACCTAATCAAAAATTCTTTCTCCAAATTTAAAAATTCTGCATTTTTTTTAATGCTCTGCTGTTAATTACTTGATTTTTTTCTGGTACTAGGGATTGAACCCAGGGGTGTTTTACCACTGAAGCTGCATACCCAATCCTTTACTGCTTTGTGTATTGAAGTGTCGCCATACACGACTAAACAAGTCAGGGTCACTCCAAGTGAATTTGGGGAATAAATAAAGACACAGATGCAGAAAAGTACCTTTTCTTTGGGTACAGTGACTGCTCTTCAACTGCAGCTCCCACAAGAGGGGCAAGGCAGGCACGAAAGAGAGTGAGGAGCACGAGTTGAACCCCTTTATTGGGGAGAAGCCATTCAAATGAGGCAAGGGGTAGGATTACTTACTGCACTCCTAATGTGAGTGTATGGCTGTGAGTGTAACTTAACCCCCTGTGGGTGATGCCTACACCTGGAGCCACGCCTCATTACCCGAGTGGGGTAACGCCCAAATTAGGACCTGGTATTGCCATGACAGGCTGAAACAATACTTGGTCAGAACCTGGTGTATCAGGACTTAAAGGCATCTGCATCCAGGGCAGCTCCTGACACTGAGGGCCTTCAGCCCAGATTTTCCTGTGCCATATGATTGTTGACTAGGAAATATGATTGGGCATCCCCTCTGCTACTACCCTCCCTGATAGTGAAATTTAATGAAGGCACATTTTTAGAAGAAAATGAGAGGTGGGAAAGTGAATTAATTGGGAGTGGGTGTCTTTGGAGCAGTTGTGAAGTAGCATAAGGAAGATATTATATGGTATCTAGAAGGAGGACATGGGGAGACATGTGTGGCCAGTGCAGACAGGACAGGCATGCTACAAAAGGAGGTACAAGGTGATGAGGGAGCCCTGAGAAGGCAGGATCTTGCCCCAGGCCTACGCAGACAAGATATGCTGTGTTCCCCTATGTGTAGTGAGCTGGCTGCAAAATACAGCGAAAAATCATATGCCAGAAATAATTTTGAAATGCGAGAGCAGGACGGCTCTGTGACCTTAAGGGTCCTGCATCCACACTGGAAGGAGAGAGAGAGTGAGCCCACGTTTTTATTTTTATGTGGAGGATACACAAAGGCTTCTCCATACAATATTCTTCACCAAATAAGGCAGGGGGTGGGCTGTCCAAGCCCTGTGGGTGGAGCTACAGAGCAGCCTCTAAAGCCAAGGGAAGACTGAGGTCACATGCTTTGCATAATAAGCCAAAAATAGCTTGCAATGCCAGACCAAAATCTCTTTGGCTTCAAGGCTGAGTAGAGGCTATGCAAATAGCTCAGTGGTGGCCCCCTACAGCAGGAGGGGTGGGTGCAGTGTCAGCAGTGTCTGGGGAGAGCTGATCACAACTGGGTTGAGGGAGGACACACTTCCTAGGAGCTTGAGAAGGCAGGAGGCCCAGGGTCACTCTTGGGTTTCCCTAGACTTGGAGTTTTGCTCCAAACCTGGGTTGAGTCCTGGCTAACTGGCCAACTTAGGGACAGTCATTGGGAGTTGGATGTGCCCAGTCCTGCTGGTTCTGAGCTCCTCTTCCCATCCCCATCACTCTCCAGGGACAGTTCCTTCAGAGGGACAACCCCCTAGACCAGGGCTCTGCCAGGAACTGTTACATCACCCTCTGTGCACCACTGGGACCCAAGTAAATTGGTAAACCAGAGGCTCCAGTGGTGGACCCTGGGGCTGGTGGGGTGTGGTGAAGCTGGATCCTCTTCCTTGGTCTCTTACACCAGCACCCAGGCCCTGACACTCACTGTTACTTTCCTTTGGGGTTTTCTCCAGGGCACTCTGGGAACCCCTGGGAACTGCCCTCTTCTTTCCTTTCTAGGTTCTTACCCCAAGAAATGAGGTAGAGGGGAACTGCAGCCTGGATGAGACTCCTGGATGAGAACACTGGGCTCTGTGCTTTCCAAGCTGAGGGGTGAGGGTTGTCAGGAGACCAGCCTAAGGTGGGTAGTGATTCCTTACATTTGGCCTGTTGCTCCCCAGGTACATGTCAGAAGCTGTGTGGCTCCAGAGGGAGGAGGGACTGAATGGGATCCAGTGGAGGCCCTGTGCTCCCCATGAAACTCCCCAGCACACCATCCCACAGAACTCCCTGGGCCCAACTCTAAAAGTATGGATTTTGACTCACATGGGCAGGGACCCCCAGAGAATGGCAAGGCTGCAGCTATCTAGGAAGTGAGGAGTAGTAGGTGTGCATTGGGAAAGGGGTGTCTGTGGTTTGCACATTTGTTGGAGGAGGCCCCTGAGGTAGGGCTGGCCCTGAAGCTGAAACAATTGCAGCTCAAGGAGCAAGAAGGTGCAGGGCCCAAGTCACAGGGCTTCAGAGCACACCCAGGTGTCCCTGGATAGACAAAGAGAAAAGACTGCACTGCTAACTAGCTGGTTGGCCTTGGGCCAGTCCCTTACCTTCCTGGGCTTCAGTTTCCTTAGCTGTTAATGAGGCCTGAGACTAGTCCAGTAGTTTATAATGTTTTAAAGGAGATTTTTTTTTTTAATTGGAAATTTTACTTGAAGTCCCATGTGAAACATATGGAGTGGAGCATCAGGAGTGCGGTGGGGTGGGTAACCCTCAATGCCCACCAAGGACCCTGTGGTGCCAGCCCTCTCCTTTGTCCTGCTTCCAGGGGTCCAGGGACTTGACTGTGAGCTGCGGGGTGAAGTTTAGGGACAGCCCCTATGCACTGACTCTGTGTTTATCTTTCCATCCGCCCAGTGCTGCAGCAGGAGGCCCCATCCCATCCAATGATGTCAGGGTTTGAGCCCCACGTGGAGGCCTCAGGCCTGAGCCCTCACTCATTTCCCTGTTGGAAGTGCTATGACCCCCGATGATTGTTTAATCTTTATAACTATTTTTAGCTGCTTTTTATGGCTGCTCTGTCTGTTCTAGGTTCAGAGAAGCGTGTTTCCTAGGGTGTGGAGAGGCTCTGAGGAGCTGGGACTAATGCCTCCTGGAAGGGAAGAACATTGCTCTCTGGAGACCCAAGCTCAGGAGCCAACACTGTCTGGCTCTTTGACATTGGGCAAGACACTCAGCATTTCTCTCATCCTTAAAATGTGGCAACAGTAATGATCACAGCAACTGACCTGGCTGGCTTCCTGGGAAGGGCTGAAGATGAGAAGATAGAAAACTCACCAGCCAGGATTATACCAAGTGCACCTCAAATGATTCCACAAAATAGAAAGGGAACTTATTTATTATTATTTTTAATTGTGTACACATGTGTGTATTCTTTAGGATTGTGTGTATGTGTGTGTGTGTGTGTGTGTGTACGCACGCGCGTGCATGCACATGGGTGTATGGGGGGAAAGATTGTGTGTGGTAGTGGGGATCAAATCAAACACAGGGCATGATGTATGGTTGGCAAGCACTCTACCACTGAGCCACATTCCCAGCCTTTCTTTTTATTTTCAGACATGGTCTCACTAAATTGACCAAGCTGGCCTCCAACTTGTGGTCTTCCAGTCTCAGCCTCCCATATAGCCTCCCAACAGGAGTTCACTGCCATAACCTGCTTAGCATTTTCTATATGCAAGATCTTGCCATCTGCAAATAGATAGGTTTTCTTCTTTCTCAAGTGGATATTTTAAAAATTTTTTTTCTTGCCTAATTTCTGTGGCTGAAACTTTTAACCAATAGGATGTTAGATTTTTCATAAACACCCTTCATCAGGTTGAGGAAGTTTCCTTTTTTCTTTGGTGTGTGTGTGTGTGTGTGTGTGTGTGTGTGTGTGTGTGTCTTTTTTAATTATGGAAAGGTATTAGATTTTGTCAAATGCTTTTTCTGCATCAAATGATCACATTGATTTTTTCCTTCACTATTAATGTGATGTACTACATAATTGACATTACTCTAAGTTTTAGTGTTTAATAATTGATAGCATGGCTGATCAGGTCCAAGTCATGAAGATACTATGTTCCAGAAACTGGAGGGAAAATCACTGTAAACTAACCACATAGTATGTACACATAGTATGCTGAGGCTGACTTTGGACCCTTGATTCTCCGGCCTCAGCCTCCCAAGCCACTGGGATTACAGGCATGCACCAACACACCAGGCTCTTTCTTGCCTTCTTTTGGGTTAATTATTCATTAGCTTTTCATTTAATTTCCTCTCTTGCTTTCTATATTATTATTATTGTTATTATTATTATTATTTTAACTGCTTTAGGGCAGGGTTTCTCAACATCTATATAGCTGATATTTGGGGACAAAATGATTCATTGCAGGGTGTGCTTTTTTAAAAAAAATTTTTTAGTTGTCAATGAATCTTTTATTTTATTTATTTATATGTGGTGATGAGGATAGAACCCAGGGTCTCACATGCCAGGCAAGCGCTCTATCACTGAGCCACAAGCCCAGCCCCCAGGGTGTGCTTTTTTATATTTAGCTTCCCTGTAGCTTTGCTTATTTTCATGATTCTGCACATTGATTTTTTTTTGTAAAATTTGAGAACTGTATGGTCATTATTTCTTTAAACATTTTTTTGCCCTATTCTTACTCTGTTTCTGATATTTGAACAACATGTGTCTTATTTTATAGTATCCTACAAGTCCCTGACATTCTGTTAATTTTCCTTCATTCTTTTTTCTTATCTTTCTTTCAGATTGGGTAATTTATATTGCTCAAGTTTGCTGACCCTTATTTTTGCTATTTTTAAGTTCTTTTAAACCCATCCAGTGAATTTTTCATTTCAGTTATTTTTATGTTCCAGAATTTTCATTTTTAGTTTTCCATTTCTCTGCTGAAATTCTTTATTTTCTAAGACTATAGTTGCCTTTACCTTTTTGAATATGCTTATTAGGACTGTCATAGAGTCTACAAGTTTCAATTTGTAGGACTCTCAGGACAGACTCATGTTTTTTCTTAACTATTGATCACATTTTCCTATTTCTTTACATGTCTGATAATTTCTTTTTGTTTCTTTCTTTGTGTGTGTGTGTGGGGTAGGTGAAGGGGAGGGATGAAACCTAAGTTGCTTTACCACTGAACTACATCCCCAGCTCTTTTTATTTTTTTATTTTGAGACAAGGTCCAAGTTGTCCAAGTTGGCCTTGAGTATCTGGGATTATAGGTGTGTGCCACCAAGCCTCGCATGTCAGTTAATTTCTTCATGGTATATTATCCTGGACAATGGGAGTAGTACTTTGCAAATGTGTAAATATTTTGGATTCTAATATCTTCCTCTGGAGAAGTTTGGTTTTTGTTTTAGGAAGGAGTTTAGTTTTTAGCTACCATTGTCACCTTGGTGTTTGGGATCTAGGGAGGTTATAGTTTGTTCAACCCAGGTAGTGAAAGGCTAAGGAGTTTCCCAAAGCCCTCTAAATTGCTCTTCTTTTCCTTTCTTTGATACTAAGAATTGAACCTAGGAGTGCTTAATCACTGAATCATATCCCCAGTCCCTTTTTAAAATTTTGAGACAGTGTCTTGCTAAGTTGCTGAAGCTGGCTTTGAACTTGTGATCCTCCTGCTTCAACCTCCCAAGTGGCCACCACACCCAGCTTCAACTTTCCAATTCTTTCTCCCTGTGAGTCTTGTCAGCACTTGTTTTTAGAATCAGTTGGGGTAGGTCTGTAGTGGGCCTTATTCCTTGACAGTGGTCCTTACTCCTAAGGCACAGCCTTTCAAAGTGTCTTAGTGACACTAGGTTGTTAACTATGTGTTAATGAGGTCTTTCCACTCTGCTTTGGTCAGAACCGGTTATTCCCTAGCAATGTTCAACCTCTAGTATTTCTATTCTTTTCTCCATCTCCTAGCAGCCACTTTCTGTTAAGCCTTGGATAGTCTGACCCTGAGCACAGAGAGAGGAAAGCCCTCAGTTAAGGACTCACGAGGAACCCATACATGAACTTTTGAGATTCCTCCTCCATACCTCTTCACAGATTCTAGTTGCTTCACTTGCCCCTGAATCTGATTTCCATGTCCTCAGGACAGTCAGGCTCTGCTTGGAATCAGTTTGTCTGCCACACCAGGGAGCTGTCCCTGCACAGATAGCCAAGGTGACCATGGGACAATTTATGATTCCTTCTCCCAAGGATTGCTATCTCACCACTTGAACCAGTTGCCTAATACATTTTGTCATTTTACAGTTGCTCACAGTGCTTGGCCTACTTAACACAATACCAGCCAATTCGTCATAGCTGGAAGAGAAAACCCTTTCTTAATACCCAAATTCCTATTGCATTACCACACACACACATGTAAATTATCACTATTATATTTCTAAAGTAAAGCAAAGAGAGGAAGGGAAAGAGGGAGAGATAGATATAGGGACAGAGAAAGAGAAAAAAATATGACTATAAGTGAAAGTAGAATATGACTCTTAATTCCTTTTTTGGGGGGTGGGGTCTGTGGCTGGTATTGGAGTCTACAATATTTATTCTAACTTGAATGACAAAAATCTCTAATCATACTCTTCATATCTATGTTAAAAATTTTCTACCTAGAGAAAGGTGAAAGCTCAGGATTAGAGGGAAGCAGTTTTCATTCTGGGTATCAAATATTATAATTTTTAATGAAAATGAAGCAAAGAATCAAAGGCCACAATTTTTTTTCCTGCATTGTTATACCCAAATCTAGCAGTCTGATGATTGACTTGTTCTTCAGTAAGATCCTAGACCCTGTTCACTTTTGAGCATTTCATTTTTGGAATACCTAAAATAGGATTACATGTGTGTCTGTGTATGTGTAAGTATACCTTTATTTCACTCTGCATCCAAATTTCAGTGTTACTTCCTGCATCTTGGGAAAACCTTTGCAGATGGATATTCAATTCTGAATACTTTCTCAAAGGTGTCAGGCCATGTTACTGGAATTTACATGCATGTATAGCTAATTTGACCCTTGTTACCTAATACTGATTACAAACTGGGCAAAAGTTGTTCTATGCCAATAAGGAATATTTTTGTTGCATACATTTGTATGCATTTTAAAAATTACCTTGTTTTTGAAAGAGTGAGGCTTCTTTTGTTCCAAATCTCCTGCTTTTATATTTTTGCCTTGTCTTCTGACCATAAATTGGTTTTCTGTTTTCTATGTAGAACCCCAACACAACAGTTACTTCAATTCAAACTTGTAAAATTCCAGAGGAGACATTAGAATGGAAAATGAGCTTAATCAAAGGAAAAAAGTATCAACAGACCAGTGTGTAAAGCTTAATAACTTTAATGTGTTTATTTTTGCTTTAATTTATTTTTGTTGTAAGGGTGAAATTTTAGCTGTTCATTTTGTATACAACAATATAGAATTAGTGATTGCATGAACACATTAGTCTCTACAATGCTAACTGTACCCCAGCACACATCAAAGGGACCTGAATGACGTGCCATGCATTTTGAGTGACCACGGATGCCATGCACTCTGAGATCAACTGCAGATAATGCTCCACCAAACTGACATTGCAACTTTGTTTCAAATGACTCTAAGAGACAAGTGTAAAATATTACCAATAAAAACAGAAGAGGACCAAGAGTAATGAAGTTTTGTCAAGATTTTGTTGTATTTATTATGAATGGTTTTTAAAAAGGAACTTACCAGAAAGCCTGATTGATGTAAGAGTCATTTGACCTGAGATTTAGACTTGTGATTTAATTATCAAATATAATTTGAAGATTCCTAAAAGAAAACATTGCTAATAAATTGTGAATCCTGGTACCTTTTTATAAACAAACAGGCCCTTGTGATTTTTAAAGTAGCAAGAAAATGCTGAAGGAAAAAAATTTAATGATGAAATAAGTATAAATAAAAGCTTAAACAAAGTTACTATATTTAAATTCAGCAGAATAAGAAATCAGAACTTTTGAGCTATGGTACCATTCATGAAAAATACAGTTCAGTTATGGTATTTTTTTTTCCATTCTCTCCCAATCCTGCCTTTATTCCTCCTTTCCTTTCTTAATAACTAGACTCCATCTATAGGTTTTTTGTTGTTGCTTGGTATTGGGGATTGAACTCAAGGTCACTGAGTCACATCCCCAGCAGCCCCCCTACCCCTTTTTTGGAGGCAGGTTGTCATGAAGTTGCTTAGGCCTTGTTGAGTTGCTGAGGCTGGCCCTGAACTTGCCATCATCCAGTCTCAGCCTCCAGAGTCGCTGGGATTACAGGTGCACACCACCACGTCCGGCTCCACCTGTGATTTTGATTTATCAAATCAGAAGTTGGTTTGTATTAATTTGAATTTTCTTTTACAAGTTCTCATGATTAAAAACA